TTTTTTACAGTTAATTGTAGTTTATGATTTACGGTAATCTTGTAAAATTTACAGGCTTACTGGCAACCAAAATTGCCAGTAAGTTGCTGTAAATTTTACAGTAAATTTTTTACAGTGACACTGTAAAACCCAACAAGTTAAGCTAACTCATTTCATTTGAGGAAACCGATTGCCTCAATTCATTTAAGTTTATTAAAATCAATAGTTATGAGTACTCTGAACTTATTTTAATCGAGTTCACTAAAACAATGATATTTCTTGAAACACAATTAAACTTTACACTGCATTTAATACTGTATATAGCTGAAACTTCACTTTATTGAGTAAAAACAGTGAAATGACAAACTTTAAATGAACTCAGAGCACTTGCAGTTACTGCTAGCTCACAATATCACACACAAAGTCAAATCCAATGAGTTAAGCTAACTCATTACATTTGAGGAAACCGATTGCCTCAATTCATTTAAGTTTATAAAAACAATAGTTATGAGTACTCTGAAATTATTTCAGTTGAGTTCACTAAAAGTAGATATTGCAGTCAAGAAATTAAGTGATTAATGAAGTGATTAATTAAGTGATTATTAAGCATTAATGATGAACACCTGCTGTTAACATGCAGAATCACTGAAGGAAAGAGAAACACAAGACCTACAACTGACTTCCAACCACAACATTAGACGAAATCAACTGAAGATAAAATATGTTTAAATATCTCAAAATCTCAGCAGAGGAGGATTGAACAACTCCACAAACAGCATTACCAGCTTCACTTATTACTAACCAGTTTGACTTTTATCATGCGTCTACAGAAGTTGTTATTGTGAATGAACAGAGATTTAGATGAAGAGGATTTATTGAGTTTCATTTAAAGACACCATGATAGTGGTCAGTGTTTGCTTTAGTTGGGCTCTTGACCCTTGACTTTATAACAGCAGTTTTTCCTATGGCTGCTGTAACTGAGTGTTTATATAACACATTTGTTATGGCACAAAAGCCAAAAGAAAATTTGAGCTTGTGTTTTTATGATGATTTATGGAATGATGAATCATCATTTGGTGTCTTGATTCTCTGATCTTTTCTAGAGAATAATCTCTGATTAAACAGGTGATATATAACTTGTATTAGTCATTATAAAAGAAATTTGATTCTGCTGTAAGGCCCATTGTTGTTACAATTAGATTTTAAAAACCTCTATGGAATCCTCTGACTTACACAGATATCAAGAATCAGTATATGAATCTCAACAATGGTGACCATTAAAAAACGATTCATGCTGCAATGCATGCTGGGAGCCATGGATAAGGTTTGTATTATGGTAGTACCCAGCATGCATTGCAGTATTAATCGTTTTTTAATGGTCACCATTGTTGAGATTCATATGCTGATTCTTGATATCTGTGTTAGTTTTGGTAATGAATTACATTTTCTATAAAATCCTTCATACTATCTGGTAGTCATAACATTGCTGGTTCTTATGTTGTAGAATCTTAGTTTCGAATACAACTAATAATATAATCAGAGATTAGACTCTGAATGAGATCAGTGAATCAAGTCATTAAGTGATGATTGTCATAACCAAACCATAATTTTCCTTGAATTTTGTGCAATAACAAATGTATCATAAACATTAAATTAAAGCAGCCAAAGAAAAACTTGTACTCGAACGTCAAGGGTCAAGAGCCCAAATAAAGCAAACGCTGATCTCCATCATGGTGACCTTAAACCTTGTATTTCTTGTGTTTATCTTTCCTTCAGTGATTCTGCTTGTTAACAGCAGGTGTTCATCACTAATGATCAATCATCACTTAATTGATTATTAATTAACTTAACTATACAATTATTATTCAATTATCATTCTGGGATCTAGAAATGTTCTTTAACTCATTCAGTTTGAGTTCTGTTTCAGTCACTCAAGCCACCTCAAGTTTTGCTATTATTTGAGTGCAGTGAACTCAATTTAATTGAGTAAGTATTACTGTTAGGTTTTACAGTCAGTGATCCACCTCTCAGATTTAATCAAAAATATCTTCATTTGTGTTCCGAAGATGAACGAAGGTCTTACGGGGTTGGTACAGCATGGGGGTGAGTAATTAATGACTTCATTTTCATTTTTAGGTGAACTAACCCTTTAAGATCACTAAATTCGAGGCTTTTGGTTAAACCTAGGATATCCAGATCCACTAAAGGAAGGAGAGCATTTTCACATTTAGCTCCAAAACTCTGGAATAGCCTTCCTGATACTGTTCGCTGCGCAGACTCGCTCTCCCAGTTCAAAACTAGATTAAAGACGCATCTCTTCAGCCAGGCATTCATATAATATTTTTAATCTTGCAGTTAATTCCGGCCTCTAGTTCATAACCGCCAGAGGAGAACTGGCCCCCGACTGAGCCTGGGTTCTCCCAAGGTTTTTTTTCTCTCCATTAGGTCACCTGATGGAGCTTTAGGTCACCATTAGGTCACTTGATGGAGTTTTTTTGGTTCCTTGCCACTGTTGCCATTGGCTTGCTCAGTTGGGGATATTCAATTTAATTTAATCAATCAATAATACTATTGATTAGCATTACCAAACGTGGACGTTTATTATTATTTTAATTAATACTGTAAAGCTGCTTTGATACAATCTGTATTGTGAAAAGCGCTATACAAATATACTTGACTTGACTTGACTTGACTTGACTTGCTATGGCCTGCTTGTGGCTCAGATCTGGCAAACTGGAGCGGTCCGCCCAAGTCCCATCATTGCACGCTGCATGTGGGCCAGATGCCAGATGCGGGCCGGATCTGGGCCGAAACAATGTTGCTATCTGGGGAAGTATTTGAGGCCAAAAGTTATGATGTGAGAAAGAGCAATGAGAAACAGAAAATGTTAGTATTGATAATAAATTTGGAAACTATTGTGCATAAGCAGAGATATTAAAGATGCACACAGTAATTTTTATGTTGTAAATGACGCCTAATGGCATGAATCATTATCAGTGACATCATGCAACAACCATTGTAGAAAAAATGCTCTGTTTAGTCAGTCATGATTTTTTTGAAAATATAAATAATTAGTCCACTGATTTGAGTCTATGTGCACAGCAAAATCCCCAGTGTTAAATTAACACTCTGAGTGTGGACTCATATAAACACTGAAGCAGTGTTAAAGTTAACACTGAAGCAGTGTTAAAGTTAATGAGATAATTAAGTGAATAATTGAGGGATGATTGAGCATCATTGAAGACACCTGATGATAACAAGCAGAATCACTGAAGGAGAAAACCGTAATTTTAAGTCACCATTACGGTGATCAGTGTTTGCTTTAGTTGGGCTCTTGACCCTTTAATCATTGACTTCAGATTTTGTTTGGCTGCTGTACGTGAGTTATAACAGCCAGATGAACATATAGAAAAGGTGATCTGATGGTGTTGGTTGTGTTTTAACATAATCATTATTTCACAATCATTTGACCTGAATTACTGAACTCATATAGAGCCCAAAGTAGGTTTACTTTATCAATTATAGTAGCACTATTCTTGCACAGCATAGTGTTTTAAACTTTTACAAAGTAATCCACAGAAATGTATTTTATACACGTCTCATATACAAAAAAAAAAAAAAATCATTTATTTGATACAGTTTTTAGACACAAAGACATCAAGAATCAGCCTGTGAATCTCAACAATGGTGACAATTATTAAAGCATGTTGCAGTGCATTCTGGGTGCCACCAATAATAACTCATTCATGGCTCCAATCATGCATTGCTGCATGAATAAATAATGAGCTTATGTTCAGAAGTGATCTGTTTGTCACCATTGCTGAGATTCATATGCTAATTCTTGATGTCTGTGTGTGCCAACATAAATAATTTTTGACGTTTTTTTTTTGTTGATCATTTGGTTTCATTGAAAAGGCTAAAAATATGATGCCATACAAGGACAGTGCTGCAATAATTAATAAAGTAAACCTAACTCAGAAATTGGCCTATATATGAGTTCAGTAATTCAGGTCAAATGATTGTGAAATAATGATTATGTTAAAACATAACCAACACCATCAGATCACCTTTTCTATATGCTCATCTGGCTGTTATAACTCACGTACAGCAGCCAAACAAAATCTGAAGTTAATGATTAAAGGGTCAAGAGCCCAACTAAAGCAAATACTGATCACCATAATGGTGACTTAAAATTACGGTTTTCTCCTTCAGTGATTCTGCTTGTTATCATCAGGTGTCTTCAATGATGCTCAATCATCCCTCAATTATTCACTTAATTATCTCATTACCTTTAACACTGCTTCAGTGTTAACTTTAACACTGCTTCAGTGTTTATTTGAGTCCACACTCAGAGTGTTAATTTAACACTGGGAATTTTGCTGTGTGGGAGTACATGATTTTAAACAACTTTTTCAATGAGAATTAAATGACTTGAGTTCACCTCTAAGTTTTTTTAATGTGATGAGAAAGACCAGCAAACCAGTGCAATAAATACACAACTTCTGTGACGATTCGGAAACTAATGACTTTAGATCGATTCATTTTGATGAATGTCCAAACTTTTGTCTCCTTTGTTTTTCTATTATCTAAACTTATTTTATTTTAAATGAACATGAAATGTTAGATGAGATTTATATTATGTTTTTTTTTTTTTTCAAGAATAAATTTTATATGTGATAAACTGTCTTTTGAAATGTATTTCTGGTATATTGTCAGTGGGGTCACAGTTCTCCCTATATTTGTGTTGTGGATGTATATATTGTTTCATCATACATTTGTGTTCACATTTTCATTTAATTCCATGTAACATGTCTGCCATATTTTACATCAGAATAAAGCGAGAAGTGTCTGTGACAGAAGAAACGTTATCGGGTTTATCAGCCTGAATGATGGGAGGGACTGTGTCTGTTCAGGCGTTACAAGAGAAAGAGAAAGAGAAAGTGGATATAAACAGGAAGGATCTCCTCACGATCGTACTAAACTTTCATATGGACACAATTAATTAAGACAGTCTTGAGAAAACAGTGAATGTTGAGTTGAAGGTAAGTGGAAGAATCAGAAACACATTTACCTGAAGTCTGGAACGAGTGTGACTCGAGGACCATGTTTGAGTTCAACAGGTTTAATGCATGTAATACTTAATCTTGTAAAGAAATGACAGGTTTTTGAATCAGAATTAAAGATATATTTGCATTTTTGAAAATGAAATCCTGATTCAACGACCTTCAACATGTGTTTATATGTATTTATTTGTACTACATGTAGATACACATTGTGTATTTGTATCCGGTTTTGTATCCGGTCTTTAAACAGAAAGTGAATGTAAATGTGTATCTTGCTTTTGGACAGAAGTTTAAGTGTAAATATTATTCTACGGCAAAAAGCATGTATGCTGACAAACTTCTGTAATGTTTTCTCTTTTTTTAATATTGTATTTTTAGCATCTGTTTCTCAGAGATGAAGTTCATGTGTTTGACTCTCCTGCTTGTTAGTGGAATTACAGATTCAAGATCAGGTAATATATTCATCATTGTGAATAATATTTATACTTTTTTGAACTAGGGGTGTCACGGTACATGAAAAAACATCCGAACCGTTCGGTTCGCTTGTCTCAGTTCGGAGCGTGTGTGCGTCGCACGGTTCGACGCATGCGCAATGTAGCCTCGTGCCCGAATGTGACGTGTGTTTCCTTTTCGCGCAAAATAAGACGTGTGTGGACCAGAGCCGTTGAAAAACGTATGGAAGTAAAATAATGCCAAATGTTTTTGAAACAAAAAGCCTGTTGAATTGTACTACTTGAAAAAATTATGCATTGCATTAACCCTGCTTGTATTTTAATGCATTGTATTTTTAGGGCTTGCATTTTTTTTATAGGCTGAAATTTAGCATGGTTGAATATTTAAGCTGTGAATATTTCAAATCAAAACATTTCAAACACATTTTCATTAGTACAATTTCAATAATTCATATTCACCTTTCGTATTTAATTTCCCAAATATTTAAACTGATTAAAAATACAACCTATAATATTCAACAGGCGGTTTTCGGTCCATTTTATTTCGCTTTGCAAATTCGCTTCCACAAATTCAGTGGTTCAAATTCGACAGTAAATTCAACGTTGACATCCAGGAGCTGCAGGAAAAGCAGTAGATTACCGAGAATAATCTCCATCTGCTGTTAGTCGACCTCACCAGCAGGGGGTGCAAGCGCGTGTTGTTGACGAAGACCAGAGCAACAGTTAGCGCAAGCCATTCATTCATAAAAACTTATTTACAAAAATGTAAGTGTATTTGTGATTATTATGACGTCTGTTTTATGCGAAATTCAGTGTGTTCACGATTACTTTTCCTGTGTAGCCTACATGCATCTTTCTCTACCATGAACGATAATGTTATTCCCCTGATGCGGATGTACAGATCCAGTGTTACATTTGACATATATTTCTCTTGGTTGCTTAGTTGCCTTAACCTTACATTGCAGCGATGTGCTGCATGCAGTACTAGGGTTTGGTTTCCCTCAATATGTCAGGATTCCCCTAGCCTGGCTCCGCCCTCCTACGCACTTCCGCTCAATTTTATTTTCCTTCAGTACTACGTCTGGGATTGTGCTGTAGACTTTGGTTTCCAGAAATAATTTTTTTACCGGTCCAATCAGCGAACAGAGGGAGTGGCTGACAACGATGACGTTGATGTAGCGCGTCAGTTTGAGTTGGAGTTCAGTAATGGCAGCGGAGAAAGACGTGAGAAAATCTATTCGGTCCGTTGTTGCAAAACTGCCGAATATACAGAAGTTAAAGCCGGAGCAAGATCAATGTTTGCTAAGTGTTGTTGGTGGCCATGATGTTGTGGCCCTCCTCCCCACGGGGTTCGGGAAAAGTTTAATTTTCCAGCTCACTCCGCTAGTGGTGAATGAGTTAGCTAAGGCGAACGATAGGGATGTAAAGCCTACACAGCAAAAACTCCAGAGTTAAATTAACTCTCCTGGGAGTTTATATGGCTCCAGACTCAGTGTTAAAATATGAGTGTTAAATTAACACTCAAGAGTGTTAAAGTTAATGAGCTCATTAAGTGATTAATTGTGTGATGATTGACTAATATTGAAGACACCTGATGTTAACAAGCAGAATCACCAAAGGAGAAAATCTACTTTTTTAAGACACCGTTATGGAGATCAGTGTTTGCTTTAGTTGGGCTCATGGCCCTTAAATCATTAAATTCAGTTTTTGTTTGGCTGTTGTATCTGAATTATAACTGCCAGATGAACAAAGAGAAAAGTTGACCAGGTGTTGTTTGTTATGTTTTGACATAATCATAATTTGACCTGAATATCAAATCTCTATTAGAGAGTTATGTCTACCTTGTTGATTACATCAGACCTGTGATTCTACAGCAAATGATTTTCAGTATTATCAAAATAATCCAAAATATTTCTTAAAAATTGTTCTGATAAAAAGACTTGGAAGTTTACTGTAATTAGACACACTGACATCAAGAATCAGCCTGTGATTCTCAACAATGGTGACAATAATAAAGCATGTTGCAGTGCATTCTGGGTGCCACCAATCAAAACACATTCATGGCTCCCATCATGCATTGCGGTATGAATAAATTATGATCTGAATTGTTTTAGTAATTTCCTTTCCCTAATTGAATATTCTTTGTCACCATTGTTGAGATTCATACACTGATTCTTGATGTCTGTGTGTGCCTAAAAAAAGATTTTGTTTTAGCAGAACAACTCTAAAGAAATCCTTTAGATTATTAAAAAAATTCTGGATCTTTTGCTGTAGAATCATATTGACGCCGTAAGCAACAATATACATTTAAGTCAGAGATTAGACTCTAAATGAGTTCAGTGATTCAGATCAAATTATGATTATGTCAAAATATAACCAACACCACCTGATAAACATTTTCTTTGTTCATCTGGCAGTTATAACTCAGATACAACAAAGAAACAAATTTTAAAGTTAACAGTTTAAGGGTCAAGAGCCCAACTAAAGCGATCACTGATCACCATAATGGTGTCTTAAAAAATTCGATTTTCTCCTTTGGTGATTCTGCTTGTTAACATCAGGTGTCTTCAATAATGGTCAATCATCACTCAATTAATCACTTAATGAGCTCATTAACTTTAACACTCTTGAGTGTTAATTTAACACTCATATTTTAACACTGAGTCTGGAGCCATATAAACTCCCAGGAGAGTTAATTTAACTCTGGAGTTTTTGCTGTGTATAGATGTTGTCGTCTCTTCTTGTTGCACTAATGGAGGACCAAGTGAGGGAGGCAGAAAGGTTAGGAGTTGGTGCTGGGCAGCTCAGCTACAGCATTTGCGGCAGATCCGAAACGACCGCAGTGGCGTATTGTTAATGATTACACCCAGCTTCGACAGTTGACTGAATACATCACTGTCATTAGTGTCAAATATACATTTAGAATTTAGAATTGTTCCTTGAACTCTTAAATTCGATGAACAAAACATGCAGCTCTCGTTGACAGACATCTTATTCTAAACATAATCCTCTGATCATTCGGACTTGTTTTTTTTATTGCTTAAAACAATACACAAGTGATAACAGAAAACATAATACAAAAACAAACAAAAAATAATAATAAAAACAAAACAAAAATAAAATAAAACAGTAGGGGGATAATATAAAATAAACATGAACAAGTTAAGAGAAATTACATGACACTGAAAAAAGGAAAATAATTACAAACAGATAATGTTTTTAAGGCTTTTTTTGTTCTCAGACAACTTAATTGAAAAGAGGTATTTTTAAAATTCTTTCACAAATATAAGAAAGAGAGGTTTAGCATTTAGATATTTAGATTTATGAATATGGAATTCGGACTTGTTGTTTCCAGCCGGTTTCGGCGCATGACATACGTCACGACCACACGTTAGCGATTGGCTATGGCAGATCCTGAGTGACGCTGGGCAGATCCAATAGTTTTGAACTTTAACAGAGAACCCGCCTACAAGGAAGTAAACGTTTCTCAATGGAGCGAGGCCAGACTCTCTGTACAAATGAAATGTATGAGAGTCTGGTAGAACCAGGCTAGGATTCCCCTGCTGGACATATAAAACGCTTAACAAAAGACCAAACTCGCAGGCTAGCAGATGGACTCAGAATATGAATTTAACGCGCAAAGTTTAATGCTGAGCGTTTCCCAGTGATATACTGGCATAAATTTGGCTTGACATTGGACATTCACACATTTAGGGACCGTCTCTAAAGTTACATACGACATTGGTATACACGTTTCTAACTTCAATACCATTTGAAAAGAACGACTTACAGTCATAAAACCAACTGTAAAGTGTTCATGTAGGTGTCAGGCTCAGGCATAATGCGCAATTTATTCAAATAGATTGAAGTTTGCTATTGAAGTTCGAAACGTTTAGGCCTATAGGACTTGTTACTTTAGAGACGGTCCCTAAATGTGCGAATGTCAACCCAATTTTACATTTAGTCTTTTAGCTGACACTTTTATCCAAAGCGACTTAGTTAAACTAACAATATAGAACAACAATATGAAAGTGCTACTTCCCAGTTTAATCTAATGCAGTACATGTACATGTACAAAACATACTTCCAAAATAAGGTGCGAGTTTGGTCTTTTATATCACTGTAGTCCATTAAGCTACGTTAAGCGCTTTGTCCTGACGGAAGGGGAATCTTTGAGTATGATGATGTATTGAGGGAAACCGATTATAATCCCGTTCACTGTAGAAAAAGCTGATAACATAAGGCTACACAGGGAAAGTAACAATGAATGAAACATAAAAACAGCTTTTGTGCCTTTATCATCTTTTCCGCATATATACTGACCCAGATAATCGTCACAAAAAACTTAATGCATGCTGAGTTTTTATTAATGAATGGCTTGCTCTAACTGTTGCTCTGGTCTTCGTCAACAACACGCGCTTGCACCCCCTGCTGGTGAGGTCGACTAACAGCAGATGGGGATTATGCTCTGTAATCTACTGCTTTTCCTGCAGCTCCTGGATGTCAATGTTGAATTTACTGTCGAATTTGAACCACTGAATTTGTGGAAGCGAATTTGCAAAGCGAAATAAATATGCAATGCATATTTTTTTTAAGTAGTACAATTTGTAAAGACACTACCTGGGTCTGATCAATGGGGAATTTGCTGGTCATAATTAATAATTAATAACTAATAATTATTCATACAGATTTGGATCAGCCCAGTCTTACATGTTAATAAATCTCCCATTAAGGGAGGCTTTGTCATTTTACCTGCGTGCATACATGTGTATCCCCACAATTAATCACAAATGAATTGTAACTAATTATACAGACCACGTTTTACAAGACAGGTAAAATTAATTAGCTCAATTAATTTATAGAGTTGTGAAAACAAATTCTGTGGCCACAAGAATTAGTTTTCTTGCTCTATAAAGTTTACACATACCCGTCTGAGGTATTTCTGTAAAGAGCTCGTAACGTTATCGAAGCATATCAGTGACTTGGGTTATGAGCAACAG